TACAACAACAACATCAAGCCTTTTTCCCACCATGTGGGGTCGGCTACATGAATCCTTTTTCTCCATTGTGTCCTGTTAAGAGTCAAATTTTCATTTAAATCTAATAAAGAAATGTCATTTCTAATATTTTCTAACAAAGTCTTTTTAGGTAACATCTACCTTTTAACATAGGCTAAATCTAATACATCTACTCTCCTAACAGGGTACCGGAAGGCCGATGTTTTACATGACCAAATCATTTAAGGAGATTCTCTCTAATCTTATCTGTCACTGGAACCTTTTCCCGGATATGCTCGTTTCGTATCCTCTCTAAGAGTAAGTCCACTCATCATCCACTTGAGCATCCTCGTTTCAGCAACACTTAACTTAATATTATGTTTCTCTTTTAATGGCCAACATTCTGCGCCATAAAGCATTGGAGATCTCACCACCATCTTATAAAATTTTCCCTTGAGATAGAGTGGTCAAGACGTGATGTTGAGGGGTTTATTTGTGATGGCTTTTAGGTGTAGGAGGCTTGGATAGGGCTTGTTATAGGTGTTAGGAAGTAAATCACATAACGATAAACTAACAAGAAAAAGAAATAAGCAGAAGAAAAAAACGTCAAGATTTAATTTGAAAAAATTCATAATCGGAAAAAAATTACGGAGCCAAACTGATGTGAAACTATTAGGAGTTACGATCAAAATTAAAAAGAGAATTGTTAAAGTTTGCTTTTATAAATTTATGTGGATCATGCAAGATAGAGTTAAGATTTAGAAACGTTAACTTTGCTTAGGCCAAAGAGTTGCAAAAGAGATTAACCAAAACTATTCAATCCAAGTTCTAGGAGAATTTAATATGCAAAGTACAATAACAAAAACCCAACGTTTAGCAACGAGAATTTCACCTCGGGGCCATCTCACTCAAATATTGATAGGCTTTTGGCGGAGATAGAAGATCCAAGCGATGAAGGATGTTACCACTAGAGAGAGGGCGCCGAAGAACTTCGTCGGAGGAAAAGTAGCCGGTGGGGATGGACGTCGTAGGTGACCGTTGAGGCTCCAAGTGTGCTTTGAAAGTTGTCGGTCGTAGATGCTTGCAAGGATTGGCACAACTCTCTCCAAGTACTCTTCCACGGTGGCTTCGTCTTCAAATCCGACGTCGAAGCAAGGAGACCTTAGGACGTTGATACTTCCGTCGGCGTTGAATACAAGACCCCACTCAAATTCAGGATCCGCCATTCAACATTGAAGTGGGGAAGGAAGAAAACAAGAGAGACTTCTTCAATGATGCTGTAGCGAAAATAATCCAGCAGAAATTGCTGGACAGCAATTCAATCTTTGCAAACAGCAACTATCGGGTCTCTTGTTGCTGGAACCGTAGCAGGGGAAGTGGGAAATCTTTGGCTGCAACATTAGTACGTGGAAGGCTCTATGTGGAGGACTTGTGGGCAGGATTTGGTGGAGAAAAACCCATGCAGGGAACAAGTGGTAAGTGCAGTAACTCTCGGCAGCAACTTGGAGAGCAGGAAATTTTGCACGGGATCAGTTCTAATCGGAAATTGGAGAAATAAAACCCAGCAAGAAGGCTAGGGGAGGGACGGCTGGATGGTGGCTAGGTTTTAGAATGATTTCCAATTTTGTGGGGCTGAAATTGGTAAGCAGAAATTGAGTGGATTATTGGGGATTTGGCTCAGGAAAATGACGTGAATAGTTTCCAAAAGGGGAGGGAGTTTTAGGAAACTAATTTATTGCATATTCAAAAGAGGGGCCCGTGGATTTAATTAGAGCCTGAATGTAACTCTCAGATTTTAATCCAGTAAGGGAATTTGAAATTTGAATTCAAAACAACTGGGATTTCCATTAAATCTATTCTTAAATATAGGGCGTTATTTTAGGAAAGAAATAATGACAGAATTAAGGCAGGAAATTCGAAATTTCAAGGGGAAGGGGTGGCGGGATTTCACCAGGGAAGTGGATGGCCGGACTGAGGGAGGCGGCGGCCTGGCTGGGGCCGGTGGCTGGCGTGGCCGGCGGCAAGGGAGGGCGGGGAAGGGAAATCGGCGGAATTGGGTAGGGAAAAATCTCTGGACCGGCTGCAGGGGAGGGGAAAGGGAAGAAGAAATGGGTGAAGGGGATAAACCACGAGTCACGAACTCTTCCAATGACTGGTGGGTAATGCTTTTGCCCTCACATGGGCTTTCTCTCTCACTTCTCTCTAGCTCTCATGCAAGACGAGTAAGAAGAAACACAAAATCAAATTTTCATTCAATAATTCATTAGCCTATTACAAAGCATGAGACCCCTATAAATAGGTCTTCAAACATAAAGAAATAAAAGTACTCAAATGCCCCTTGGGCTACAATAAGACATAACTCCCCATAGGGGTAAAATGGGAAAACAGTAAAACAAGACAATAATAATAATAAAATACATAATGACATCTAGAAGTAGAGGCGCTGAATTGTGGCCGTCGATCTGTGGTTTCGCCGGCGATAAACATGTCGGTAGCGTCTGTCGATGTCCTCATCACAAACCATACCAAAAAAATTACTATGAAAATGAGAGAAATTGTATAGATCACTCTTCTTACTGTCTCTCATTATCTCTCTTCACTTTTCACATAGTTCTCAAAATAGATAAGAGACGCATTTAAAACATTCAAAGTGTGCAACCCTTCAAGTGAAATAAGAAGAAGAGAAGAAAAATTGCCTAGCCTGACTCGTAGCACTGCGACACTGGTGCTTCTCTCTTTGTCTCCAAGTTAAGACTGCAGAGCTTCCGCGCTACATCCTATGACGCCGCAACGCTCTTATGTATAGCACCGCAACACTGTATGATCATAAGTTTTTTTTTTTCATGGGGCTTTGCCCTCGAGCAGAGGGCGTGCTGCCCTTGCAAACTCGTAGGGAGGTTCTCGTCGAGCTCTACCAACAGAATTAACGTCTATGTCGACAGTACAATTTGATTGATTGACATAATCATAGTCCACGCAACACAATTGTGGGCTTGGTCAAGAGGTAGGAAAGGGGTGCTAGGGTTAGGGTTTGATTTAATGGAAGGAGGCTGATGGCTATAATAGGATGGCCTTGGATTGCTTTTAGGTTTGTGGGGAATGTTGTGGTGTCTAAGAGAAGGATGTAGGAGATAACTAGGCCATGGTGTGGGGAATGTTGTTGTATTGTAGGAAGGGTGTAGGAGTCAGCTAGGCTAGGGTTTGGGCAGAAAGCAGAGAAGGAGAAGGGAAGGAATACTAGACAAAAGCTAAACTTGAAAACTGACAAAAATCCGAGGGTTTGGATCGGCCATTAAATTTTCTTAGGGTTTGCATACAAGCAAAGTAATTCAATATTCATTCAATGATTTAATAAGAAAGTACATGCAGTCTTTATAAAATATTGAAACAAAAAGTTCATCAATAATTCCATGTTAGTTTAGGCCAAGTCATTTAACAAAAAGGAGTGGTTCTATTTTGCATGCATTCATCTTGACCATATTTAGAGTGGACGGCCAAAGGGATTTTGGGCGTAATTTGTTGCTTGTAGAGTAAGTCAAGTGACTAGCCATGTTATGAATGGAAGGTGAAGTGTTCTTATGAATTCAGCACATATTGAAATCCAAAGTGAAGGACCAGCCAAGTCTTTATCATGCTACTTGCTTTGAGACGTTGAATGTTGCTGATGATGATGGTCCTCTATTCCTATGTAAAGCTCTGGTTTGGGATCTGATCCGGTACTTGTGTATGTGTTAGTGTTGTATCAATCATGCTTCATTCCTACTTTTGCCTTAATGCAAAGCGCTGTAAACTTTTTATTTTTTTGAAAGACCCTAGGAACTGTGTACTTGAAATTGATGCAAAAGTATGCCTCACTTGGTGATTAACGCATCTCTTCAGTTTTTGGGATTCTAATAGCCCTTAGATTCCCACCAATCCTTTTCTCATGCTTATTTAACTGAAAAATCTTTTGTCTGTGAATAGTTCATTATCCTTCTAATCACAAGTAACATTTGATTACTTCTTTTTTTGCTGTGGACAAAAACAAATATGGTCCTTTGCTTTTAGTGTGATATATATATATATATATATTTTCCTCTTAAAAATCTATGAGGTGCTAGTCTAGTTTTATTTTAGGTTATTCTATAAGACATCACAACAATATAAATACCTATATATATACAAGCATTATATGAGATGTATTGATTTGGGGAAAATTTGGAATAAAGCTTTAGAATAGATTTTTCTCCTCCAAATCCTGTCTCTCTCTCTCCTCCCTCTCCCTCTCCCTCTCTCTTGCAAGAAGAGCTCAAGAAAGCCAAGAACTCCTCAAGAATCCTAACAAAATCAGGTTCCTTGACAAGTATTTCCACTCAAAGCCCATAATGATTAAGACTTCATGATACTCGAAGTAGTTTTTAGTACTCAAGCAACCTTGTTTGTGTGGGCTAGTGCATTATTGTATGTTCTCCAAATTTTAAATGGCTTCAACTCTGTCCATCTTGTTTGGATCTGCAAACATATATTTTCCCTTGCTTAATTTTGGTCTTTTTTTTTGTTACTATGCTTGCAGATTTCAAATATATTTATTCGGTTTATTGTTTGTAATGAAGTGTAATTTTGTTCCAATGTTTTTTTTGATAAATCGTAATTTCTTCTTTTATCCGCACCGGGGAAATTTTTGGTTAGAAACTCCTCATAAAAACATCGATCAGGTTTTGCATGACAATGATTCACAAACAATAAAACGGAGTATAAACTACCAGATATTTATATCAAAATTACATAACAGTTTTTTATTTTTATTTTTTGTTCTATAACTACAAGGAAATTTAATATAAACTACAAGATGTATTTTTTAACAGCTAAAAGACCAGTGTTCTTGTACCACAATACAACACTCAAATCATTACTTTTTTTAAGTTTGATTGTCTTGTACTCATGACTATCTTTCTTAATGAGCAGCTTGCATTCCGTTTCAATCAAATAAAGTCTCTCACAATCCTTTGCATCTCATTGTGAAGCCTTGAAGGTAAAGTTGCTTTGATAACTGGGGGAGCGTCTGGCATCGGCGAAACCATCGTTCGACTCTTCTTAAGCCATGGAGCCAAAGTTTGCATTGCTGATATTCAGGATGAGGCCGGTCGGAACCTGTCTGAATCTCTCGGCGGAGACCAACTCGCCGCCTTCTTCCATTGCGATGTCACCATCGAAGACGATGTACAGAATGCCGTGAACTTCACTGCTGCGAAATATGGCACCATTGACATCATGGTGAACAATGCCGGCGTTTCTGGCTCCCGAGTTACCGACATCCGGAACGCAACATTCGACGAGTTCAAGAGGGTGTTTGATGTGAATGTTAACGGCGTTTTTCTTGGTATGAAGCATGCCGCACGTGTAATGATTCCTGAAGGCAAAGGCTCCATAATCTCATTGGCTAGTGTGTCAAGTATTGTGGGTGGATTTGGTCCCCATAGCTACACAGGCTCAAAGCATGCAGTCCTGGGACTCACCAAGAGTGTGGCTGGAGAGCTGGGAAAGCATGGCATACGTGTAAATTGTGTTTCTCCTTATGCAATTCCTACAAATCTCTCAATGGCTCATTTCCCTGAGGAAGAGAGGACTGAGGAAGCTCTGAAGGGTTTCCTTGCATTTGTGGGCAGCCATGCCAATCTCAAAGGTGTAGATGCGATGCCAGAGGATGTAGCATATGCTGTGCTTTACTTGGCGAGCGATGAATCCAAATATGTCAGTGGCTTAAATCTTACAGTAGATGGAGCAATTACATGTGTCAACAATACTCTTCGTTCCTTCGGTTGATCTCAGGTTAGCTGAAAAAAATTATCAGAAGAGAAGTCCAATATTACTATTTAACTCTGGCTTTAGGTTCATCTTTTTTAATAAATGGATTGTGGATTAATGTGCATTTCCTATTCACAGATCAAATATTTGAAATTAGTGTTAATAGATTGCTAAATACTGTTTCAAATCAATGAATTGCTTGATCTGGTCTTTATTCTTTCTTGGTCAAGACTTTTTGGTTTTGAGTAGGATCACATTATATGTCAAATCATTTATGTTATAGAAGAACCTTCTCTTTACATGGTTGTTTGTAGAATTGATTCATCAAGTTTTTATACTCTTGCAATTCTTCTTCCCTTTACATAAGCTCTATAGTTTTTTTTTTTTCCCTTCTATAATCTTATATTTTGTAAGAATTGATTCACCACCGCCGCCACCCTTTGGCCACCATCACCTTCAGCTTTTGGCCACCCACTGTTACCACCAGTTCCTGCCACCCACTGCCACCACCCGTCGGTCGCTGCTATCTTTAAATTTTATTATACATTCATTTTACTTATAACCAAATAAAAAAATCATTCATCTGAATTTATTTTACATTCATAAAAAAAACTCAAATATTCATGTTACATTATATTTCTTTTAAATTGCATTTCTTTTTATCCGACCAATTATTTGCCAATAATAAGGAAAGCGAGCTTCTTGTATTACTTGCAGTCCTCAAAGAGGGATTCTCCTTTCCTGAATCTAATTTGAAATTTAATTAGCTAATAGTGACACAATTATTGTAACTATTTATATTACTTTGAAATTTGAGTTGAAACTTGAAAGTATCATTAGCGCCTCTTTTTTATAAAATAAAATAAAATAAAATAGGGGGAAGTTTGAATCGAAGTTATCAATAATGTGATTTTTTTTAGTGGAAAAAAAATATATTTTTAGAATATTTTGATAAAAATTTTAATGGATCTCAAAGTCTTTTAATATATTTTGAATGATTATTGCATTCATCTCAAAGTAGATATATGCTCTTTAGGTCAATTCGGATCAATTTTTTATTATAATTTTTTCCTTATAAACGGAAGAAAATATTTTTTTATATTCAAATGCGCGTTATAATTTTCAAAGTTTTTGAATTTGCATTGAGATTATTGAAATTAAAATATCATTAAAACACCAATTTAAGTGTAAATTTAATGACTTAGAAGCTCATTTTAATACATTTTACATCATGATAAATTGATAGAATTTTATCCCATGTATGTGTAATTCAAATAAAATTATAGGGGCTGTTTCGTATTAGGATTTAGACTGGATTTGAGCGAAATCCAACCAAACGGCCTAAAATGCGAAACCAAATCTCACGGTAAATGAAATCAGCGGTAGATGGAAAATTACCCATTTTCGTGGTAAATCCTAGATTTTCAAAATCCTCTAATTCAACGGATTTAATGCTCTATTGATACGAAAAAGAAAAAAATATCCTCTCATTTCATGATTTAACGCTCTATAGTCAAATAATCACACAAGATTTATAATGAATGCTACCAAACAATTTTCAGGATTTAATCCTCCTAGGATTTCCTAAATCCGGATTTAGAGTATTTACAAAATCCTACTTAAAATGAAATCCTGGGTGCTATCAAACAACCCTTAGAGTTATATGCACATTTTAAAAATAAAATGAAATTAAATATTTATTTTAAATATTATATGAGAGATATTTGTGTAATTAATCCTATTTTTCACTCATACTAAGAATTTTTTTTATAAATATTATTGAAAGAGTTATACCACCTATTTGGAACAGTTGCACGATTTTAGAAAGTTGATTGTGAAATTATTGTAGTAATACAACTTAATTTTTTTTTATTGCAAAAATTAAATTTTTATCTCAAGAACTTTGAAAATAATAAAAAAATAATCAAATAAATATTTTCTAAAAAAATAAAATAATAATAAAAGTGACTCATAGTCAATACTCCATCTACTAGAAACAGGCAACGCCGCAATGGTTTATACCTTCCGAGTCCGTCAACATTTGTAGAACAAAGAAAAAGTCTTCGAGTCCACACCATGACACAGCGAGTAACGGTCAAAAAGGGTTACCCTGTCTATTCAAAACTGGCTGGCCTGACTGACTTCACGGCAGACCAGATTAAATCGAAGCCCCAAAGTCATAAAGCCGATTATTCAAAGCTTCATCATAATTGTGCGGGATCTCTGGAGTTTTCCATTGACTTGCTCACCACCAGCTTCTGCAACAACAAGTCTTCCAAAACCATCGATAGATCTTAGTTTGAAGAGAGAAGGGGAGGCTTTCCAATTTCTTCGTGCACCAATTCATAGAAGCTGTGAAGCAAATCCTATTCTTCTTCGCCATCATGGTGCTAAGGAAAATGCTTGACAAGTTTAGATCAAGAAGTGAAACGAAGAAGGTCTCTGAGGAGCCTGAAAAGATTGATTCGTCCAAGCAGCAGAAGCAGGATGGAGGCCATGGAGGTGGTGAAACAAAGAAGAAGTTGAAGAAGGTGCGATCAATAAGAGTGGCAGACTTTGATGGAATCAGGAAAGCTCCTAAGAAAACCAGTCAAAATCCACTTAGCAAATCTCCTCAACAAGCTACAGATGAAGTGCCGAACTACATGAAGTTTACAAGCAGCTACGATGCAAGAAAGGAGAAGAGTAAGGTACCCATCGATTCCTCAACTCCTATAACGGCTACGTCCAAATCTCTCTCCTCTGCTGCTAGAGTCCTGGTAAAGAATTCTAGTTTGAAGCTATTGAGGTCTTCAATGAAGAAAAATAAAGGAAAGAATAACCAGTCGTCGATTTATAAAACCAGGGCCAATCGTTCATCACCTATTAAGGATTCAGAAACTCCAGAGTCTGTGGATCTCAAAGAACATCAAGATGCTTTAGCACTGAAGGTCTGTCCTTACACGTTCTGTTCTCTACATGGCCATAAACATGGAGCTGTGCCTTCCCTAAAGCGAATCTTGTCATCAAGAAGACAGTCGCTGAAGGTTCAGAAGAGCATGAAACTGAGAGGTTATTCATCAATAAAAAAGAGCGGTGATAAGGAGGCTGAGCTGGTCGAGAATGTAGTTAATGAACTCTTCATTGAGATCCACTCTAAGCTACAGGAATGGGGTGAAGACAGCTTTGATGATGCTGAAAAAATATATATTTTCGATAGGATGAATAAGATGAAGTTGGAGGGTCCAAATGATGAGAGTCAGCTGCAAGAGTCATGCTCAGTTACAAGCTTTGAAGATTGTGGAGAAAAGAATAGCGAGCTCTCTATGGAAGACATTCAGGTAATCACTCAGTTCCTGAAATTTATCGAGCAAGAATGTGATGAAGAAGCTCAGTCAGAAACGGAAAAAAGTGAAAAAGCAGCAACCGTGGACAACTTACTAGTAGAAGAGTATAAATCAATGGAAGAAGATTGGACTAAATTAGAAGCTGGTTGCGTTCAACGACAAAAGGACATTAGTAAGGCCAATTTGAAAAGTTTTGTAGTTGAAAATAATGTGAAAGATTGTTCATCACAGGGTAATAGGTCTAAAGTAAAATACAGCAAATTGAGAAGACAGCCATCGAAGTTTAGGGAGAGTGTAAAAGAGATCAATCGACGGCCACCACGATTACTTGAATTGCAAGATGAACCAGAACAAGAGCAGGTAAATCTCAAGCATCAGACAGTGGATGAAAGAAAAGCTGCTGAGGAATGGATGATAGACAATGCTCTCAGTAAGGCTCTCAGAAGATTGGCTTCTACAAGGAAGAAGAAGGTACCACTGCTTGTTGCTGCTTTTGAGGCAGTCATGCCACAAATGTGTGAAACACATATGTGCCATAATGGAGCAGGCAACCTTGGTCAAAAGCAAGATCAGTAATCCAGAACTTTTAGAAGCTCTTTGATGTTCTTCAGTTATCTTAACGGATTTAGATGGAAGTTGCTTGTAATATAGCACAAGTGAATATATGAATGTAAAATATGTAGACAATGTAATATTTCATTTGTTCGTGTTGTTCAAGCAGAGTTGATGCATTCTTTTCAACATTTTCACCCTTATGGCACAAATCTAAATGAGAAGTTGTCATTTTGTTATAGAATTTGCTTTCAGTCTATTATTTCTTCGCAGTTTCCCATTCACCCCCTCTGATTCTAATGTAACTTGTAATCAAATATTACAGCATATCAACTAATGTGTGATTTGTATGACCCATGGTAATAGCATGCAAGACTCCATGGCCTTATGATTTGAGGCCTTGGCTACACCAATGAGGAGGGACTTCAAGCACACTTTCTAATTTCTAACAATTGAGATAAACTTAAAGCAACATCCCAAGAAAATCATGGAAGAAGAAATGGATGGCTTTAATCACATTGGACAAAGGGATTAGAACGGGTAATACAAATTAGCCATGTAAATTAGATCAGTGACGACTTGCGTAGCTGGTTTGGAGGCAATTAATAACATATTGGATGAAGTGTCTCTTGCTTTTTATTGAAGAGGGAAGGCCAAGAAGCATTCTATTGAACATAGTATTAGCAGACATATGCCCCCTACTTATTAATCATGTACACACATTCTCTGTACAAATCATCACATCCATCTATATCTAACAGATGTAATCCAACTCATATATATATGTGATGTAATGTTCAATAGTAATTAAGGAATATACAGTAACTTCATCTCCTTTGCTTTTTGCCTTTTCCTGCTCTAGTTTCTTCGCAGGTGCTCTGATAACATGGTATCAGAGCTAATCAGGTTGTGAACTTCCCACTTTTTTCACCAAGGAGACTCCCAAAACTTTATCTACGATGTCGACCTTACCTTTTGTAGCCATGGCAGATGTCCTGATATCTCCTCAACTCAAATTTCTCATGTCCAATATTAAAACCGTTCTCAATGTCCAGCTCATTGCCAAAAACTATTCCATCTGGCGATCCCAAGTTCTTAAGCTTTTCTCTGCAAATGGTTTCACTGGCTATCTCGACGACACCATTCTAAAACCATCCCGTCAATTGCTTCTTCCAGATCAATCCATTACATCTAATCATGTCTATAACGCTTGGCTTCTTACTGATCAAAATCTTGACTCTGCCCTATTTCTACCATTTCTCCCTCTTTATTACCGTGTGTGCTTAATCTTGAATTATGTGTAGACATCTAGCTTACCTTAGAACGTCGGCTGCAATCCTCCAACAGATCCTGCATTTTTCAGTTAAAGAACGAGCTTCACCAATTGCAGATGTGAGATAGATCTATGTTGAAGTACTTGTTCGAGATTAAGCAATGTGTGGATGCTAGCATTGTTGCAAGGTTGGCCATTGAACATGAAGATATTATACTCTATACATTGAACGGCTTACCTCCGACATGCAATGCATTCAAAACGACAATTTGTACCAAACTTCATCCAATTAATTTGGATGATTTGTATGCCCTCCTCTATAGTGAAGCGGTCAATATCAATGCAGATCAAGCTACCGAAACCAATTCAACCACTCTTAAAGACTCTTCGTTTGAACTCATTGCCTTACGTGGCAGCTCTTGTGGTCGCTTCCGTGGCATATTCAACTCCTTTCGCGTCGGTCACCCAGTTATGTCTTCTCCTCGTGGTGGTCATTATTTTCCATCACATGTCGAATGCCAAATATGTTGTAAAGTTAGACATCCTGCTGCCACATGCTGACATCGTATGAATTTTTCTTATCAACTGACTTTGCGCACCAATTTGAATCAAGCATTCCTTGCCCATGATGATGCATCTGCGGTTGATTGGTTTCTTGACTCCCGAGCATCCAATCATCTTACATCTGATGCCTCGCAACTCCAATCCCTACAACCATATCTTGGCAACTCTCAGGTGCCTGTCAGCAATGACACGCAACTTCCCATTGCCCATTCTAGTAAAGGCATTTTGCGGACTCCTTCCCATAAGCTTCGCTTCCCCATATCCTACATGTTCCTCACTTAACCCATAATCTTCTATCTATTCATAGTCTCACTCATGATAATCCATGTTATGTTTCATTTGATTCTCATGGTTTCACTATTAAGAACTCCCAGACACATCAGACGTTGCTTTAGAGATCCAGCCTCCATGAACTTTACCCTATTAAGCTTTCAGCCATATCCACGCCTCCAAATTCTTCTTCATATCTTACAGCTCTCTTCAGCCGTCGTGTTACTTCAATCTCTTGGCACCAAAGCTTTGGACATCCCTCCACCACGCAATAGTTGTTGTCTTCTTACTTTACAGATAATTCAATTGTATCTCACTGTGACTCTTGTGCTCGAGCAAAGAGTCACAATCTTCCTTTTTAGTTAGCTTTACCCAATACATCTAAATGTTTACAGCCTTTACATCTTGATGTATGGGGTCCTTCCCCAATTCTCTCCCTTAAAAAATACAAATACTATCTTATCATTGTTGATGTCTTTACACGATTTAGATGGATGTATCCACTTTACTTAAATTTTGATGTTCTCTGAACATTTCTGCATTTTAAAACTTTGGTTGAAAATCAATTTCAAACTAAAATTAAAATGCTTCAGTCAAACAGAGGAGGTGAGTTTGTAAATTACAAGTTTTAACATTGCCTACATGCATTTGGCATTCTACATAGGCTTACATGTCCATATACTCCCCAACATAATAGGGTGGCCGAACAAAAACATTGCCATCTTCTGGAGATTGATTGTGCACTGTTATTCATTGCAAACGTACATCTTCACAATTGGGTTGATGTCTTGCTCACAGTTCCTTACCCAATTAATCGCTTACCCTCTCTTAGTTTAATATGCCATATTTTGATTTTGCCAATTTTTTCTTCTGAAGTCATAATAACTTCAAATTGCAATCCATCTTTGACATCATATTTTGATCATAGTATTTTACTCACACGAATTTTTTTCGTAATTTTTGGGCACAGGCAAAAATCTTTAAGGAATTTGTACATGTCGGTGCAAGTGAGGATTTCGGGATCATTAGGTGTCCAATTTGCAAACCAATTTTATCGATATTTTTTAAATATTATGTTTTATTTTATGGATATTTTTTGTACTTTTTTAAATCCTAAAATGATTTATTTGAATTCTCTATAAAAAGAAATTATTTAAATAAATTATATAATATAAAAAATATTATTTTAACAAAATATCTAAAGTCACTCATATGACTTTATTAAAATCTCTTTTTTCTTAAGATTTTGGCAACATAGAAATGAAATGATGATTGTGCAGGTCCTGAGTAGTGTATATAATTTTTGGAAATTGAATACATATGTATACATTGATATTTTAAATTATAGAATCTGTTTTGTTGTTTATTACTAATAGATGATATTACATAATTTTAATTTTTATTTATTAAAAGATTAAAAGAATAATTCTTTCAAATTTAAATTCTGAGGTATCACAATTAGTATCAAAGTATAGTTATTGAAAGAATTGATTGTTATTAGAGCTATATGAATGGATTATGAGTATGATAGATTTGGTAGATTAAGGTGCATTAGTTTGCATACATAATTAAATGACATGTGATATAATGAATTGTATGATTGTATGATTTTTGGTGAGTTTTGATTTGATTTGGTTAGATTAGAGTTTTGATTGTATGAATTTTGTTGATATTGATTTTATACCTGAATCCTTAAGGGAAATGTCAGGGACGACATTTTTTTAAGGTGGGTAAATTGTAATATCTCGTATTTTAACTTTGACAATTTTTTTTTTTGGAGTCATAATAACTCCAAATTGCAATCCGTCTTCGCCATCATATTTTGATTGTAAATTTTTACTTACACGAATTTTTTTCCTAATTTTTGGGCACCGAAAAAAATCTTTAAGGAATTTGCACATGTTGGTACAAGTGAGAATTTTGGGATCGTCATGTGTCCAATTTGCAAATCGATTTCATCGATATTTTTTAAATATTGTGTTTTATTTTATGGATATTTTTCTATAAATTTTAAAGTCCTAAAATGATTTATTTGAATTTTCTATTAAACAAAATTATTTAAATAAATTATATAATATAAAAATATTATTTTAATAAAATATCTAAAGTCACTCATATGACTTTATTAAAATCTCTTTTTCCTTAAGATTTTGGCAACAGATAAACAAAATGATGATTGTATGGATCATGAGTGATGTATATATTTTTTGGGAATTGAATACAAATGTGTAATTGATGTTTTAAATTATAGAATCTATTTTGTTGTTTATACTAACATATGATATTAGATAGCTCTATTTTTTTTTTGTTTTTTAAAAGATTAAAAGAATTTTTCTTCCAAATTTAGATCATGGTGCATCACGTCTACTACCTATAAATTATCCCCATTTCAACTTCTATTTCATCAACTTCTTACCTACGATCATCTATAAGTCTTTGGTTGCTTATGCTACCCATAGATTCATCCACAACATTGAAATAAACTTCAACATCGCTCTATTCCTTGTGTCTTTTTTTGTTATGCCAACCAATCCAAATGTTATAAATGTTTAGATCCGCTTACCGGTCTCCTCTACATATCACGTGATGTCCAAATTTTCGAATATGTTTTTCCATTTAAAAAATTCATGACACCTACCTCCACTTCTACATATGCCACTACCTCTCCTCTCATTCTTGTTAGTTGTTACAGCTTCTTGACTCTTCAAGTGATGCATCGCGCCGCGCGTTGCATAATTCATCAATTTTGCCTCTTTTGCGTGTAATTTGACGTAGGGGTCAACATGTTCTTTATTCATTGACCAAAATATTGCATAAAAATAATGATTATGTTAATTTTAATTCCATTAATTTATTTATTTTGCAACGGATTCACTTAAGAGAAATATAATACTATTTTACTTGAGAGGCTACATAA